AAATCAATATGATAATTTTAACTTTTTAAGTTTATCGTGTTTGTGTACAAAAAAATTGAATAATTTATTTTCAAAAATATAATTGTCATTCATTTTTCAAAAACATGCTATAAAATGAAACATATTATGATTATCATATCAATCGAATTGTTTTCATGAATAATATATACTAAGAGTCCTATAAAATAAACAGTTTAAATGATCAAAATAAGGCTAAGTTTGGGAAGTCCCAAATAAGCCAAAAAGTCAAAAAGTTACTCAAAAAGTTAAAAAGTTGACACTATTCACCAAAAGTCAATTAACTTTTTAAGTTTATCGTGTTTGTGTACAAAAAAATTGAATAATTTATTTTCAAAAATATAATTGTCATTCATTTTTCAAAAACATGCTATAAAATGAAACATATTATGATTATCATATCAATCGAATTGTTTTCATGAATAATATATACTAAGAGTCCTATAAAATAAACAGTTCAAATTATCAAAATAAAACTCGTGATAGGCAACGTAGCCCCCACAAATTCTCTTAAATTCAGGAAACCCAACCCTTCCATATCTATCAACTACTAGCCTAGTCGATTGACTTTGGCAACATATGATGCAGTGACACATACTGCAACATTCCAGCCAAACCAGTAGTCTCCATCCTTGTCTTATCCTTACTAAGTTTCATCCGCATATATCATGTCAAAATAATATATGGTTTCATTATTTAATAATAAAATTATACATATATGATTGTAAATCTCACTATAGTCTTACAATTGTTAAAATTTCTTTTCCTACGAAGGTGTACACTAAAAATAAATAAATTGTCATGTAGAAACTAATTACTTTTAACACGTTTGCAAACGTTGTTATATGTACTTGGAATTAATTGATGCAGCTTTTCTGAAAATGAAAGTTGATAATTATAAAATAGGAAGTAAACTTATCCATTCCTTAGCTCCTAGATAATAAATTTTTTTTAATTAATTTATTTTCATCTTATAAATTGTACCAAATAATTTGCCGAAATCTCAACAAAAAATTATAAGAAAAAAGAAGCTATAGCAAAGGGAGAATAGAGACGGTATTGGGTCACATAAGGTGCACTTAAAAGTTCATCAATGTACAAAATTAAAGTCTAAAATGTACAATAAATAGTCAAAACAACAAACACACACACACACAAAATGACAGATGGGTTGGCTGATTATTTTTAGCAATTAAATCATCCAATTTCCAATATTCTCTTAGATTTTAGACTATAAAGAAGTAGAAAATAAAAAAAATGACAGATAGGGTTTGATGATCATGGTTGTGAGAATCAAGTGAAGTTGATGATAGATTAGTCTCTTTCATCATTCACAATAATTAAATGAGGTGGTCCTGTTGTGTTGTGTTGTGCATTGAGATTCTAATCAGTATCCATTGGTTGCCAATGGCGACTTTAGATCTAGTTTTGAAAGAAAGCAAAAAAAAAAAAAAGGGTTTATTTTTGTCTTCTTTAGATTTTTAAAAAAAAAATTGATGAAATTTGAAGGAAAAAAAATCAAATAAGACAAAAATAAGTTCATTTTTGCTGCAAAATTTAGCTTACTTTCTACATAATTACAAGGATAAATTGCACTTGCAATCTCTATAGTTTGTCTTTTGTATCAATTTAGTTCTTATAATTATGATTACATCAATTTTATCTTTAAATTTTTTACATTATGTCAATTCAATCCAACTAATAATGCTTTTTAAAAGTTGTTTGGAGCGTCCTAAATAAGTGTATTTTTTATCTTTTTTGACTAAAAAATTGAGAAAAAAAATATGGATGTTTGAGTTAATTTTTTGACTTTTTATGAAAAAATTTGTATTAAAAAATTATATAAATTAGTGTATAGGAGAAAATTAGGATCGAAAGTTGTGCATGCGTAATTTTTTACTTTTGATAAATAGTGATAATTTTTTAATTTTTTAAGTAATTTTTGGACTTTTTAACTTTTTTTCAACTTGCCAAACTTAGGGGTTGTTTGGGGTGTTCCAAATAAGTGTACTTTTTGACTTTTTATGAAATGTGGGTTGGGTATGGGTTGGGTTTGAAGTGATGTGATAGAGAGGTAATGTGACTTAAATAAAATGATGTGACTTAAATAGGATAGTGACTTTTTGACTTTTTAAATTTTTTTAAAAATGCCAAACTTGACCTTAACTTTAATAAAAATCAAATAGAAAGTTGTCCAGCACGCTTCTCAAAGTAATGGAGGGATTGATTCTCAATTTGAAATGGTCAATCTCCTTTTCAAGGGAAATGGATGTTATTAGTTTGACTAAATTAACAAATATAAAAAATTAAAAGTGAAATTGATGCAATTGAACAACAGGTGACTAAATTGCAAAAATAAAAATAAAAAATTACAGGGCCTACGGTATATAATTTTACCTAATTATAAATTGGCATATAATTGATCTATAGATATTTATTTTCCACAGAATTATAGAATATATATGCTCTTGAGATATTTATCTTGATTATATGCAGGTATGGATGTGAAATTAAAAGGCTAGTGTCCTGGCAACGCTGCAAGTTTGTGTCATGACAGCACAGCCCAGCTTGTCATTATTTTGAAGAAAACAGGTCCAACATGACTTTTTATTTGCAATGAACTTGTTCTTTAAGAACTACTTTGGAACTATCCTTTCGAAGATTAAATCCTGATCTAATTGTTTAAATAGAATTTTACTAACACAAAGTAAGATTTTAACAAAATAATTTGAATTTCAATGTACAAATACCACAAGGTTCACCAAGGTTAAGCTTAAATGATGCAAGTGATATTCACCGCTCTAAATTTAATTCCGAAGTGTGAATCTTCAATTTCACCTGTTTAAAATCTATTCAAATTTATAAACAAGTTATAAATAGCTCGGTTATATCTTTGAAACTCATTTAAAAATGAACTTAAATGGATTAAATAGGATACCCATTAAATTTGAATAAAAACAAGCAATAAAGTAAAGAACATATTATTACCACCCCCACCGCCACCGCCTACTCTACCACCACCATCAGCAACAACAGAGTTCTTTAAAATGATAGGTTAATTTGATTGATTTGTTCAACTCTTTTTAACTCAACTCGTTTAAATCTATTTACTAAGTGAACATGTTTGAATTGAATTACTTAAAAATATAATTCTTTTTTAATATGTTTAAATTTGTACGTCTCATAGCATTACTCTTCAAAAGCCACTCAATCAAATTCTAGTGGTCTCCTCTTAAGTCAAGTTATCTTTATCTACAAGTAGAATTGATAGGTATACAATGAAAAGGTTAACTAGTAATTGGTGTTATCCTACAAATGAACCCCACCCTCATGGGTACTATGATGAAGAGTTGAGAATGTATTAAACTATTGAGTTGAGTTTATCTTATGGAAGAACAAATTGCACATGCCTTCTCTCCATCACCACATGGAGTGGAGAGAGAGAGAGAGAGAGAGCATACACATTTCTTAGTCAACCTCAAAAACTAATAGAAAAAACTCACAGTATTATAAAAAAAAACATTTAACCATTCAATCAATCATAAACACCAAACAATAAACATATTTGTCATATACATTTTCAGTGTACTCCCACTGTACTCCCACTTGCCATTTCTGTGTGCAAAAAATCAATCCGAGTCATCACCACCTCTATAAAGTTTATCGTTTTATCCGACGTTAGATTAGATTGGGCTTTACACACACCTCTCTCTCTCTCTCTTATCTCTGTCAAAAAAAACATACTTGACCCCGGGTTCAGATCCCCTCCTTGAGCTCCTCCTTCATTTCTTCCTTGTAGGGGCTTTCGGGTCCACTTTGAGCCCAGTTTTGATAATCTGAACCGTTCATATTTTTAGATTTATTCAGTATATTATACCTGTAAAAAATCAAGTTGATCGTATATCAGAAAGTATGCGTTTGGAAAATTGGGACTACAAACTATTTTTTAATAAACAGTTTTCCAAACACATACTTTATGATATTTGATCAACTTGAATTTTTATTGGTATGATATACTGAATATATCTAAAAATATGAACGGTTCGAATTATCAAAATTGGGTCTCAAAGTGGACCCGAAGGCCCTGCAAGAGGAAATGAAGGACCGAAATGAAGGAGAGGATCCCAATTCCTTGACCCCACCTTTAGACAACCCTTATCCTAACCCAAACTGCCAGTCAATCCCCCCTCATTCTTGGGTAATTATTCAGTAAAGACTATACATCCAAAAAAAAAAAATTTCAAAAATTTACTCAAATCTAGTACGTGTGAACAAGGTGTCAAAAGTGGAGTTTCAGATCACATCAAGTTTACATCTACACCATTTATATTTTCTGTAGACAATTTTCTTCATCAAAATTTTAACTTTCATTATTATTTTTTTTTTGATAAATAAAATTCTAACTTTTTATTATTTCCAATCAATCCGATGTTTTCTTTGTTACATGATTAAAAAAACAAAGATGACCCACTTTAAATATGTTATAATTTCTTTTTCATTTATAATATCATAAAAATAGTTTCACGAATCTCCAAGTATCTAATAATTTTGAAAAACAATTGTAAAATATAAAAATTAACCATAAAACCAAATATAATTTTGTCACATAAAATGAATTCATCTCATTAATATAATTTTGTCCAATTCTATGATAAAAAGACAGTTTTATCTAATTAGAGACTATTTTAAAAAGATGATTATAATTAATTTTTTAATTAAAAATTAATTATAATTAATTTTTTATAAAAAATAAAAGTGAGCTCTATTCTCAAAAGTAAATTGTAACTCACTCCCCAAAATCCCTATTATCTCTAACGTTTCTAGAAGAACTTCCCCCAATCCATTTCACTTTCATTATTATTATCTATACCCAAGAGCAGTCGGCGCAAGCGCACATGCCAGAGGTAACGTGGCAGCCTCTGATTGGACAGATTCAACCTCTTACAATATCAATCCCCACCTCGTCCCTTCTCTCTTAACAATTTTGCGTACTATAAATGTGTAAAGCCATTACTCCCCAAGTGTCATGCAAATTCAATTCATTCTCTTCATATAAGCTTCTAGAAATGATATCCAATTTCACTGAGTTGATTCCGGGTCTACCTGAAGAACTCGCTCTCGAGTGCTTGACCCGCCTTCACTACACGGCCCACCGCGTCGCCTCCGGAGTCTGCCGCCGCTGGCGTGAGCTTCTTCACAGCAGAGACTTCTACTACCACCGGAAACGAACCGGGTTTACCCGCAAAGCCGCCTGCTTGGTCCAGTCAATCCCAACTCAGTCCGAGTCAGACGGGCGAAAATCAGCTGGCTCACCGAGTTATGCTTTGTCTGTGTTTGATCCGGTGAATGGGACTTGGGACCGAATCGAACCGGTTCCGAAGTACCCAGATGGGCTTCCTCTGTTCTGTCAGGTGGCGAGCTCAGAGGGGAAGCTCGTAGTGATGGGTGGGTGGGACCCGGTGAGTTGGGACCCGGTAAAGGACATGTTCGTGTACGAGTTCACGACTCGGAGGTGGACTCAGCGCAAGGACATGCCTTCGAACAGGTCGTTCTTCGCCGCCGGAGCCGTCGACGGCAGAGTCGTCGTCGCCGGCGGGCACGACGAGAGCAAGAACGCGTTGAACTCGGCGTTGGTCTACGATATCAGAAACGACGAGTGGACTGAGTTGACTCCGATGGAAGAGGAGCGAGACGAGTGCGAAGGCATTGTAATCGGATCGGAGTTCTGGGTCGTGAGCGGGTACGATACGGAGAGTCAAGGCAGGTTCAAAAGCAGTGCTGAGTCATTCGATACCGAGACGGGTACGTGGAAACGAGTCGAGGACGCGTGGGGGGTGAGTCAGTGTCCGAGGTCGTGCGTTGGTCTAGGGAAAGTTGGGAATTTGATTTGCTGGGCTGAGTCAGATCCGGCTGTACGAGTCGGGGCGTGTGTGGTTGACTTGGGTGATCGGACCTTGGTAACCGGGTCGGCCTACCAGGGTGCACCACACGGGTTCTATCTGTGGCAAAGTGGTAAATTGGCGAAGATAGAAGAAGAAGAAGTACCCGATCAGTTCTCGGGATTTGTGCAATCAGGTTGTTGTGTTGAAATCTGATTGGTTGATTTTACGAGATAACACGGTATTTGGGTATGAGTACCTTTGAGAGTGTGTATATACACGCGTATTACATCACATCTAGACGATGTATACTTGCCTTTTCTTTTTTTCTATGAGAGTGAGAAGGAGAGAGAGTAGATGATGAAATTTTGTAAATTTGTAATGTATTTATTGTAATATATATATGTGTTATTAGTCTCTTCTCCTTCTAATATTGCAGATATCTATACTATTGCCCCATTTAGAGAGATTAATTTTTTAAGTTACGTAAATTTTTTTTAGGTATTTAAATTATTGCATGTTTGTCTAATGAAAAATGTTTCAAACTCCCTTTTTCTCTCACCCCTTTGACCTCCTTTCTCTCTTATTGGCTAGTTTTTTTTCTTTTTTTTCTTCTCTTCCAATCACCACCGGTCACGTGTGTGTGGAGTAGTGAAAGTGGCAATTGGAGGGAGTCTCTATCAATGTTGTTGTCTAATATATAATGTACAATTGTGAAGTGAAATAGAGCTATGGTTAATATATGAATTTCACAAAGGATTTTTTTTAAAAAAAAAATTCTTGTGTTTTTGGGGGTCCTGCAGGCAATGCCCGTACCTTGTTCTAGATTGAGAGTGAGTGACTATAACATCAAAAGATAAGCAAAGACACACAAAAGCGCAGTGTTTGTATAGTTTTGTTCATTTGTGTGACAAAAAATGATTTGGTTTTTTTATTTATATCCATTAGCATTATCAACCCTTATAATGTACGGTTAAAATAAATAATTTTAAAATTAAATAATAATATAAAATTTATTTAAAAAATATAGAAAAATAATTTAAAATGAATTAAATTTTAATTATTTTATTAGAATATATATAGAATAAATTACACTGATATTCTCTAAGATTTTTATTTAATACAGATTCTCTTCTTATGTTTGTAAAATTATACTCTTTTCTAAGACTTATAATCTCAATACAAATTACCTCATGAATTGCTGATATCATACTCTTAAATTTTTTAAATGACAATTTTGCCATTTTCTTTATCATTTCTTCTTCTTATCACCATGACTACACGCTATAACTTTCTATCATTAAATTCTAGCTAAACATATTCTTATTGAGTGATGATATACAAACATAAATTTTATATAAAATTTTCAAACAAAATGATATAACTTAATAGTGACTTTTCACTTTAAAACAATATACCCATAAACATAATTTATATTTACAACATTATTATCACAACATTTTTATGATATTTTTTGTATAAATTTTTATATATGAATAGAATTTTTCATTTTTATTTCCACCATCATTTTTCTTTTTCATCTATTCACCTACATTTATTACAGTATTATCAAACATTGTCATTCACATTTATTACAATATTACTGAATTGTTATATTTTTGTATTTGGTGAATTTTAGAAAAATCACAAAATATTATACTTCTTAAATATATCTAGATTAGATGTATCTAAAAAATAAAAAAATTTTGCTTAAAATATTTTTAAAAATTCAATAAAAATAAATATATACTGAATTGTTATATTTTTGTATTTGGTGAATTTTAGAAAAATCACAAAATATTATACTTCTTAAATATATCTAGATTAGATGTATCTAAAAAATAAAAAAAAAATTTGCTTAAAATATTTTTAAAAATTCAATAAAAATAAATATACACAATTTTTTTTAAAAAATTCAATGTTTTGTGTGAATTAAACCAAAAAAGATTATTGTTATTTCTCTTGAAATGACATGAACAAAATATCAATATTATTTTATTATTTTATATGTATAAAGGTTAAAGGGTAAATATGTTATTTTAATCTAACAGGGGAGTAAGTATAATTTTTCAAACGTAAAGGAGGGATCTGTATTAAACAAAAAATCTCATATATATATATATATATATATATATTGCAATTGTTATGTCATTAATTGTATATTCTAAATTCACAATAAAAAAATAAATGTCATAATTTAATTTACACAAAAATTAATTAATATTACTTTTTTATATTTTATTTTATTTTAAAATTTAAACTGTATTCAACTGAAACATGCACAATACTATAAAATTCACTTTATATAAGTTAAACAACTCACTTTTTTTTTATTTTCCCGATGTGAGATTGTAAAATAAAAATTAACAATTGTTTGAACGGAAAATTTATTTTTATTCAATCAATCTCAACATTCAATATTTAATTAGGTCTATCTTTACTTTATTTCAAATCAAACAAATCTAACCAATATATTTTGATAAAACTGCTAAAATCGTGATTAAACCACCGAATCAGTCAAACCGAAAACGGTTCAACTTAATTAGCTAGGTCAAAAGACCAACCAACTTACATAAAAATTAATTAATTAAAATTTTAAAAAATTATTTTATTAAAATTTAAAATGCTTTGAACTAAAACATGCACAATCTTTCAATATTAAATGAGAGTATAAGATTCACTTTATATAATAAGTGAAACAATTTATTTTTTCTTTTTCTTCCTAATGTAAGATTGTAAAACAAAAGTTAACAATTGTTTGAGTGAAAAATTTATTTCTAATCAAGCAATCTCAGTTGTTCAATCTTTAATTGAAACGATACCATTCTAACCATTTGTATCTCTACAATATTTTCAAAATCCATCCTATTTTATTATATAGATCTATATTAAGGAAATATTTATTTTCCTTTTAAAAATCATAAATCATGGACTAATTAAATTTTTATTTTTATATGGTTAAATGAAAGTTAGTCAATAAGAATTTTTTTAATTGTTTAAAATTAAAAAAATCAAAAAATTAAAATTTTTATAAAACTTCTCACTAAAAAATTATAGATTTTTTGTTTGAAGGTTACTTGAAACTTAAAAGAATTTAAATTTGTCTGTGAGGCAACCACTTTGGGTGTGTTTAATTGAGGGGTTATTCACTGTTCGGATTGTTTATCCGAAGAAGGAAAGTGTTCATCGTTTGTTTTTTTTTTAGTCCGCCAAACATAGAGTCCGGCCGGACTCCATATCCCTCGTATGAGGGACTATTGTATCCTAGGGGTGAGATTATTTCCATGGGATTATTTACTGTTAGGTTTAGGTGGTGAAATGACCATTTTGATCCTCTACTACTTAATTATGTATTATATTTAGTAAAATTCAATAAAATTTAAATGTCCCAATTTAAAAATAAAATAATTTTATTTAACTTTTTATTGATGTTTATTTATTTAATTTTTTAAAATAATTTTTTATTGATGTTTTATTTTAAAATTTTGTTTATATTTTATATAATTTCATTATTTAAATTTTAATAGATGTTTTATTTAATTTTTATTATTTTAAAAAATAAATTTATTTAAAATTTTAATTAAAAAAATTATTTATTTTATTTTATTTTTAAAAAATAAAATTATTTAATTGTGTAAAAAATAAAATAAAATAAAATAAAATTTTATTTAATCTAGCTAAAAATAATTAAAATATTAAAGATATGTTTAATACTATTATTACTTAGTAAACAATTGAAAAATGGTAAAATAGTCTTTTATTCATTTATCATATCTAGTCCGTCCAACCAAACAATAGATTCATTAAAAATAATCAGTTCTAAACATCTAATATCATGAGAAAGTAAACACGAGATACACATACAATCCAACTAAATAGTTAGGGAGATTCACAGTCTCAGGATTAAAGTTCGATAGATTCTAATTTCCCCTTATTCAATCCGTCCAATCAAACACACCCGTTGCCTTTTAAGAATCGGAATGCCTTATTTATTTTTCAAACTACCTTCTATTTAAGAATACACGACATATGCGAAGGTGCTATTTATTGTAGCTTAAATAAGTTTCTATAATTTTTTTATTTTTTATTTTTCATTTTTCATTTTGATATTGTGTAGACCTGGTCGTACGATTGGGTGATTATGGTTATCATCTAGGGGTGTAATTTTGGCCCGTGGCCCTCGGGCCGCCCGAAGCCCACCCGCCGCCCAAGGTGGGCCCAGCCCGTTAAGGCCCGAGCCCAGCCCGATGCCTTGGATTAGGGCTTGGGCCATCGTTTTGAAGCCTAACCCATGGACCCAGTCCGCTTGGCCCGCTCAAGGCCCTCCCAAAAGCCTGGCACACCCGATGCCCATTTTTTTTAATGGAAAATAATAAAATTTAGGTGTAAAAAATTTAAAAAAATTGTTTAGGGCCGCCCAAGCCCGAGCCTAGGCCCATGCCCATGGGCCCGGCCCACTGGTCCGCCCAAAGCCTGAATATCCCTAGGCCTAGTTTTCTGGCCCGTGGGTCGACGCGGCCCGGTATGGGCCCGGCCCACTGGTCCGCCCAAAACCTGAATACCCCTAGGCCTAGTTTTCTGGCCCGTGGGTCGGCCCGGCCCAATTTTTTGGCGGGAGCCCGCAAGGCCAGATATGGGCCCGGCCCGAGCCCGAATGGGCCGGGCCGGGACAAAATTACACCCTTACGTCTAAGACGTCAGTTTCCCTTTGTGAAAGGCTTTGAATATTCGAGTTATTTCTCTAAATGCTGAAGAAAAATTGTTTAGTTCTAATTTTTAGAAAATGGTTTTCGAAAAATTTTACTTCTTTATTTTTCGTATTTTAATGTTTTCAATGAATTTTTTTTAATATTTTAAGTAATTTTTTAAAAAAAATTAGACACACTTAACATAAATACACTTAAAAAGTATAATATTTGTGAAAAAAATATTTAAAAAATACGAAAAATTACGAAAATTCAATACATTTTTCATATTTTTGTGTATTTATTAATTTTTTAAAATATTTTTTCACAAATAATTTATTATTTAGATACATCTAAGTAAGGTGTATCTAAAAAAGTAAGAAAATTACTTAAAATGTAAAAGATATTCACTAAAAACAAAAAAATACAAAAAATGAAAAAATCTATTTTCAGAAAACAAAAACCAAACACACTGAATAATAGTAAGATTCCTTATCCAAAATCTTCTTTTTTTTTCTTTAAAAAAAAAAAAAAAAAAAACTCCTTTGTCAAAATGCACAACAAAAGAAGGGAAACACTTCACTGTCAAAAGATCAAAAAGAAACTTTCATTGTCCAAGTTATTTTATATTATGAAATTATCCTGTAATTCTTAATATCAATCCCTTAGAACTAATCATCTCGAATAAATTTGAATCGAGATTTTACTTATTCAAAAAGTAAAACTAGAAAAGAAAATGATAGGACCTCACACAGCTTTCAACAAAACAAGAAGAGCATGCTTAGATGTGATAGGATGAGATATTAGGATAGATTCATTCTAGTCTATGAGGCTCACCACGTATCTCATTATAATTTAAATCATTTATTTTTTATTGTCCAATGTATGCAATTCATTTATAAAAAAAATAAATATCCCACTTACAAAATTATATAATTATAAATACCGAATCAATTTATTTTTTTTACCAATAATCTACAAAATGTCAAAGTAAGACCCTTGATGATCCGCAGGCTTTAACAGCTCTCCATTACACATAGGCCATGTTTGTTTGGGTGGACATGAGCTTGGGATTGGACTAATAGTCCAATAAAATTATTAATCCGATATTTGGTTAAACAATTGAAGTACGGACTAATTATTTTAAACTTGACTATTAGTTAAGATAGGATACATAATCCAAAAGGATTTGTAGTCCTAGGACTATTAGTCATGGAAATACTGATCCAGTCCGCCCAAACAAACATGGTCATAGTCGACTGAAGATATGACTGAAGATATATATATTATAATAAGGATTGCAAATTGCAATCTTAGAATAAGTCTTTAATGTTAGTATAATATTATATCCTAAAGAAAGAACTTCAAGAGCCCATAATATATATCTAGCATATCTTGAAGATAGCAATCCTATACATATATTTTGTTTTTAAATTTTCTATTTCAGAATTTATAAATTAAATAATAATGTCACACTTATCGCATATCTATATCATATAATATTTATCATTTTACTTATGAAATATAATATTGCTGTGACAAGTCTCACCACCAAGATATCTTCAATGTAATATTGATAATTAGACTGAGATATCGAATAATAAGATAAGAATGATCATTATTGCATAACTCAGCTAGAATATACAAAGAAAATAAATTCACAACAAACCAAAAGAGAAAGGGACATCATCAAATTATAAAAATAGAGATGATAGCAGCATGCATGCAAGCAACTACAGTGAAATTATTATAATATTATAATCCACTTTTATATATATATCTCATTGCTTTCACAGCATAGTGTTTTTAAGAAGAAAAAAAATGAAAACAAAACTCCTCATTGTACAAAACTCCTAGTTTGATAGTAATTGCTTCTAAGTCGGTTTTGTAACACTTTCTTTATGTTTTTTTGGGTCTAGAAGACAATGATAGGTAAAATAAATGGTTTTATCCATAAAATTACAGAAGAAAGACGACACAATCAATTAAAAATAGACAAACAATATGATATTGTGGGTCTAAGATTAGGTTGATTGGATTTTTATTTTGTATATGGTACCCATGTTTCATATATGGTTGTTTTCATTTATTAAGATTAATTTTTCTATACTTAATCATGTGAAATAAAAATATATATAGTATATATTTCTAAAACTTTGTATTATAATGAGTATTAAGGTTTCAATCCCAACCAACTCAAGTTACCTAGATTAGGTTGCTGAATGATTAATTGGATCCTAAGTCATAACCATGAAGATCGGGATTGGAATTAGATTGTAATTAGAAGTAATACAAAGGAATGCATTGAGTTGTTGGGTGCAACTTCTTACAAGTTAGAAATTAATAATTAGAAATTAGTTTTTTTAGTTTTTTAACTTATTAAATTATTTTTGTCTCACTAAGAGCAACTCCAATGGCAAATGCTATAATAGCATTGCCATTGCCAAATTGTGGCAATGAATAATAGCATTTGACTCAAATTATAGCAATAATGCTCCAATGGAAGGCTGCCATTTTTGCCATTTTGACACAGAAACTAGTGTGTGCGGGACGTTTGGTTGGTCATCCGGAGTTTCCAACTTTCGTTCTGCAAAAATAGCGAACATTAGGGAAAGTGATATTTTGCGCAGAGAGAGGGAGAGAAGAAAGTTTTTGATAAGAATTGACAGTTATGACAGTTGCTAAAGGTTGTATTTGACACAAGTTTTGACATTTGCTAAATTTAACAGTTGTCATAACTTGCTGTTGGAGCCTCATTTCTATGAATTGCTACTATAATTTGGCAATAACAACTCCAATGACTTGCCATTGGAGATGCTCTAACTATAAATAGAAATAGAGACCTTAGTTTGGTGGTGCAATATATAAGAGTTGTTTATAATTTATTTAATTTTTTTTTTCATAATTTAAATTGTTTGATGTAATTTTTATTTATAGTGAAAAAAAATTAATTATTAAGAAAATGAAGAAGGATGTTTTGACTTGTGCTATTTGATTATTAGGACACCAAACAAGGCTCGAAACTGCATCAAATTTATTAACGTATACTTTAAAAAACAAAAAACTTAAAATATATATATATATATATATATTATAAAGAGGCCAATTGTTGCACTAGTCTTCCTAGAGAACGAACACAAAGACAAAGACAATAATCCTTTTGTGCAAGGAACGGCGTCGTCGTGCAGCTCTGTCGTGTGGTGTGGTGGATCTATAATCTATTTAACTCCGCCGTCCGACTATCTAACTTTATCACTCTACTATCATTCTAAAAAAAATCAGTCTAGAAAATCCTGATTCATGATGAAGGCCAACATGAATACCACTAACAATCATAGGAGCAAGGGCAGAGGAGGAGGATTATCATCATCTGCAATAACAACCACCATATTGGAATTTCGGAGAAGGTGTGTAGCGGTGTTGCAGCAGCAGAGGGCGCGCTGCTATATCCTCCGCCGCTGTATCTCCATGCTTCTCTGCTGGCACGCCCACGCTCTTCGCGACTAGTCACTCAACCCTCTCTCTCTCTCTCTCTCTCTCTATAGAAAAGCCATATATTATGTGCTTTGTAAAATATTATTTCTTCTTCCTGTAAAAAAAATGCATACCCTCTTTCTCTCCTGTTTCTCTTCTTGTATAAAGAATCCATACCCTTTTTCTTTTTCAAATTTTTTTTTTTTTTAATCTCTTTCGTAAAATATCGCTTGTCCATCAGTCATGCTCCTTGTTCATATGTGAATGTACACGGAGCTTAGTGATATGAATCGTATCATTAGTCGTGACCATGCAATTTTGATTGTCATGCTCTGCTGCTACATAGGGATTATTATACATGTATGTTGCTGGGGCTAATTTCTAATTCAAAATTGACCCATTTGAGTTTGGATACTCTTTGAAATTTGCCTGATTTTCAATTTCAATTCACTTGTGTTTTGTGTGTATCTACGAAACAATTTGAAGTTGATGATTCTTAAGTTGCTTTCGTGTTCGACTAGGCTATGAGAGAAAGAGACAAGGTATATTCCCTAGCTAGATGCTAAATATTTCATTTTCTTTAGTGGACCACTTCAAGGGGAAAATGTCACCCCTCTGAATACAACCGCTCTACTAGGCCCCCTCAATATCAAACTAACGCACTATTTGATTTGATTTACTAGAATAAGGCAGAATGAAATACGAAATGAGATCAAATAGAATACAATAGTCATTTCTCAGACTTTTTTGTGGAATGATCAATCCCTCCCTTGTAATGGCAAATGATAATTTTATTTACAATATATTTTTTATTATCTTTTTAATAAACCAAACATAAGAATAAATATTTTGATAGGATGATCATTTTATTTCACTATTTAATAAGATTATGTTTCGCAATTTATTAGAACTATTTATAATTTTTTTTTTCAAATTTTATTTTTTAACTGCGATTTTTTGCTTGTTACAAGGCCAAAATAGCTTAAAGAATTTTTTATTAAAAAAATAATTAATAAAATTTTGAAGGAGAGATGACTCCAGCTAATTTTTAGCTTGCTACAAGGCCAAAATAGCTTAAGTAATTTTTTTATTAAGAAAAATAATTAATAAAATGTTGAAAGAGAGATGCCTCTATCTCTAATTATTAACTTTCAACTTGCAACAAATTCTACCAAACGGGCCTTGTGCTCCCACTTGGCACAGCCTTTGAAGTACTTATCACTTTTTTATATTTTAAGAACATGTCTTAATATCAACAATAATTGACATGCCCAATTTTTGTTGTTTTGATAATCACATGACCCTTAAAATGATCTGGATTACTTATCTAAGAGAGATAAGAAGAAAACAAAAAACAAATACATAAATGGTTCAAATCATTTTGTAAGTCATGAGGATCCCTAAAAATGGGGGTCTCAACAATTTTTGATCTTAATATTTAGTGTAACTTATAGTTTATGAAACAAAAAAGACTTGTATAAATTGATTTGATTATTAACAATATGATTGGGAATGAGAAGCATTTAGTTATTGTATTTAAATTATTAAATTTTAATTTGTCAAAACTATACCAAACGAAGGCTAAGGTTCCTCGTCCGGTAGTGGGGTGTGCATTTGGTTGCTTTGGAAGTGTTTTTGTGGCCCTTGATCTGCTTAGGAGGTGTTTGGCCACAGCATTAAGATACTTTTAAGATGTTTAGAGGTTTGTCTCCTAAATGTAACTATGGTTATCAAAGCTCTATACAGCAACCTCTCATGCTTTTGGTGTATTTTTTTCCTGACCTAATGGCATAACGTAGATTTTGGTATATAATAGATAACATAAACAATAGAACTAATGAAGATAAATTAAGCACAGATAATAATGCAAAATCAATCCCACAGGTATATATATCCCACTTACCATGTAGAGGATCTGGCTAAAGTTGCTCATAACAAGCACTGCAAATATTGAGAATTACAAATGAAACTGTCACCACTAATTTTGCGTGTCATTTGCCAAACTACAACTCCAATGTATCCTAAATCCAGGGCTTTCAACCAATAATAAACTTACTGCATGAGTTGTAACATTTTTGTGAGTTTGGGGGTTGCAGTCATCAACATATGCATATATTATTCACAGATGCTAATGTCCATCTAATGTTCCAAGAGCCTCCTTGAGAAGTCTTTGTGCTTCTTCTCTCCTCCTAGACAAAGCAAAGGAAACAACATCAATTCAAAAAGATTGAATCCTTACCATAGAATTCATGTTCAAAGCACACTGTCTTCATGCTCAATCACTAGCAAGTTGACTTCATTGGTTGGAAAACCACATAGGGCAACAGTTATATTTGTTGCTTACTGCTCGTCCATTTGGAGAATTAAGGTTAAGAGTTTAACCACTAATGAACTAATGCAGTGCGCACACATAGTATTAGTTCCTCCTTGTAGGCTTGTAACCTCGTTTAATTAGAGCTTTACAACATGATGCCAATTTAAGTTTTATTAGTAAACTAAATGACTATGGCTCCATCTGTGCAACTGAAAACTGTAAAAAAAATATCATATCAAAGCTATAGGATGAGGCCTCCATCTAGTATGCTAAAGATCAAACGAACAAAGCATGTAGAAGTGCAAGGTTCTAGGAGATAAACATGTGGAAGATAAACCAATCTGATACATACAGCTTTCACCGACTTTTTGTCTCTCTGTGATTAGTTCAAACACCACATCAATCAAAAAGTTCACCATCTCAACTAGAAGCAAACCAAATAGTTTGCACTTCAGACAAATATGAATAAAGAAAATGCATGATTGATTCAAACACACATTTATTAGTACCCTGTAGTTTGAGTAATGCATGAATCGTTGTGTGCATTTTTCCTTGCATTTTTTGGCTAAGTGTACGGGCTTCGGAATTGTATTTTCATAGGACTTGAGTTTGGGATGACCACATAGGCCCAATGTTAGGCAGACCAGTCTTGGCCAAACACATATTCCCTTAATAAGTAGTGCAAGTCCAGCCCAAGTCCATCCCAGCCAATGCCCACCCCTAGCTCCAATCCATCAACAGGCACTATAACTAAAGTTCTACAGGCATTGACCTAATGATTTATCACTAGGTACTCAATTGATCTATCACACGGCCATGAGATTTCGTCTCAACATGGTGTTCATCTTCTTCTCTACTTGTTCTTGGTGGTTGTTTCCTAACTTCTCGGTCTTTCCATTTCTCTATCTAACAATTTCTTTACAATCTTCACGTTTTTGAGTACACTCGAGTCAAACCAAACATATTCTGTGGAGATTAGGCTGGGATTAGACTAGAGTATTTCAGGTTTAGGTTTGGGTTTCAGTGGCCTTGTGCAAGGCCTAGTAGACCTCAGGTTGGGCCTGGCCAGTCCCTTGACCAAGGCGAAACCAAAATTCCATCTGAGAGGGTGTACCAAATTGGTGTCCCATCCTGTGTCCCCTCCACTCTATCCTTCTCATCAGATCAGATATGGGTGGTTTCATATCAATTTCATCACATAATAAATCACAACACAATTTTAAACCATATTTTTAAAAGAAAATTAGTAATTTCAGCTCAATTTGGTCACGTAATCCCTTAGTCATCTCTGATTGCACCAAAAGAAATCTTATGGGGCAAAAGAACCGAGATCAAACTCACTGCATAATCATCTCTGATTCTATCTCAAGAAAATCAATAACCAGAAAATGTTTAAATGGGTCGCTTCTTATTCTTCTACAATCATTAGTCAATCATATTAATCACAACCAGCTGAAATTGGTGGGCACCAGAATAAAGAGAATGGGAGATTATTATGTGAGACATACTAGTATCTATGGGAGTTATTCGAAAGCTGAAGGGTGCCATGGCACCCCACACTTACATGTCCGCACCCAAACTAACATGATACAAGTGCTTGACAAAAGGAAAGGGGAAAGAAAGCCAACTTTGTTCACTCATTCATCACTCTTTGCAAACCAGCCACCATGAGTCAAAGCAGTATAGCTTTCTTCCGCCCAAAGCAAGGAAACAACAAATAGAGAAAATAAACTTGAAAGTAAATATCCTCTTCTATGTAATGAATAAAACTCCAGTGAAAGCCAGAAGGCCAGAATGGAATGCATTACCCTTTCCAAACAGAAATGACTTGAGGCTAAAAAAAAATATCAAAATCATTAGCATCCCACATATTCTGGGTGTTTAAGAACCACATAAGCCAAGTTCTCAAACCACAAAAATTCTGTTTGACAGTTTCCCTCCAAATGAAGAAAGGTGCATCGTAATAATAGCCTTCTAGAAAAAATTTATCTCCTAGTCTGTCCATTCAAATATTGAATACCGCCGTCTCCAGTGAATGAGGCAGGCAACAACCAATATGCATAAACATGTACATAAATGTGTCTGTTTATGTGTGGCTGCACGAGAGAGGGTTTGGGGCACATGATCTTATGAAGATATCAATGTATGTACAGAATGATTCAATTTTCAGTTAAGCAAAATCAACTGACATGCTGCAACTTGTAACCAAGTCAGCACCACAACTATAATAAATCATTGTAAGACTTGAAATTAAAATCACTGTCCAAAAACCTACAAATTCTTAATTTAGCTACAGAAGCAAATAGGCATTTCCAAGACAACACCGTTTTAAAATGTTACGAAAACCAAGTAAAAATTTTCATTTCCAATCATCTAAAAACATCAAGACTAGCAGAAGGGTACCTCTTAATATCCTCCACAGCTTCTTTACGGCGTTGTATCTGAAGTTCTAGCATGTGAATTAGAGTTGCTCTGGCCTGAGAAGAACAGGTGAGAAAAGGAGTTAAATGCGAGGGACATAAAATGAACTAAAACTACATATTTAGCTGAATTCTCTAAAAAAGACCAGGAACTAGGGATAGTAATTAGGAAAATTCTACCTGGTGGGGACGCAATGAATTGAGAAGGTGGTGTAAGTTCTTGAATATAAGAGATATGTCTTCTACCCTCCTTGCATATTGTGATGGCCGCTCTATAAGAACATCAGCAAGCTCCAAAATATGCAGCTGGAGTTCTCTGTTAAGCGTTCTCAGTTCATTCTTGAAATCTGTGAAAGGTTAGAACATTATTAGACATCAGATTAAAAGATATTATAGATAGTTTATTTTATGAGCACTTCATGCCATTGAATATCTAATGATCCACATCACAACTAAGGAATCTGCCTTAAACTTGAGCAAGGGGAATGGGGAGGACTTGAGGTTATACTAAGACTGTAATATTAAACTCTGTAGGCAAGGTATGCAAATTGGTGGGTTGATGGTATTTTAAGAACAACGAGACGACAACCTCACACACTTCAAAAGATTTAGAGTGAAGTGTCTGCCAGATATCATCATACATTAAACAAATAAAATCCCAATTAGCTTCTTTTTTTCCCTCAATGCTTTTCATCTTGACTTACATAAACTTCAAAATTCAGGCAGATTCATAATATCATAGTCATCACCCCATCCTAGAACATTTTATAGTGCCTTAGTGGCAGAATTAGGCTACTTTCTCTAGGGAACCCTATTTCCCACAAAGATGCATTGAATCGTTGAACAACAAACTTGGAAGCCTCTTGAACAATTATTCACTGTTTTTTTAATCAAAACTAGTAGCATCCAAATGTTAACTATTTTTTAACTACAGACCCAAATGTAGTTTCAAATACTATGGCTCTGTTTGGTAGAGCTTTTAAAGTTTAATTTTGTCCCTTAGTTTGAGTGTGTTGTTTGATTACAGCTTTGGAAAATTAATTCCACTCACTTTTCAAAACACCAACTTTTCAATATTATGTCACATCACTCAATTCAAACTTTTTTTCAAACTCATAATCAAACAAATTTTCCACACTCAAATCATAATTCCAAAACTCACAAACTCAAAATCCAACTCTATTCTCAAATCATAATTATAAATCTCTACCAAATGCAACCTATGTTTTTCTTAATGGAAAATTATACTTTCATGATCTCCAAAAAGAGACCGGTTAAAACTTAAAATCATTCTGACAAAATCAAAGAAAGTAATTATTTTAAAAAACGCATTCACTAGTGCTAGTCCACAATAATAGAGGGTGCTAGGAGTAATGGCCCTAGTATAGACCTAACCTCTCACATTATTTGCACAAAATGGTAACCCTCTACCTTGAACTTGCTTTCTTACGCTTGCCAGTCCAAGCACTCAGTATTGCATCAAGCAACAAGCAACCCCTACATGGAGTTAGTACTTTTAAGCCTCCAAAATGCCGTAAGGATTAGCTTTTCCCTAAGATTAATGATCTAGAAGAACATAATGTTGCAAAATATATATATATATATATATTTAAATGTATTTAAAGAAGATTATAATTAAACATAGAATTACCAATGCTCGCATGGTACCATGTATAAAAGTACATACCATGTATAAAAGTACAAATCTACTACAGAATTAAGAAACATAAACAAAAACAAAGAAACCAACTAGAAAGAAGTTAAACAATATGTTTAAAAATAACTTTCAACAACATGAGACATGACAATGCACGCAAGGTGAACAAATATTTTCATGAGGTAGCACTTATAAGAGGTGAAGAGATGGTAAATGTACCAATATTAGGTCTTTTAGGATACAACTGACGAACTCCCTGTTCTTCCAAGCTCGGAAGGACATCATCTGTCTACATCCATAAAGCAAATATATTTTAGTCAACTGTAGGTGCTCAAATACAGAAGTATATTAATCAAAAATTCCAAATTGATTGGTGTGAAGGCCATTTTAGAACTAAGTATAGCTCGACAACCAATTCAGCTCCAATAAAAATTTCACAACATTTTACATTTCAAATAAATAAATAAATAAAACATATAGAAAAATTTTGCTTCAATATGAAACTTTTCATAACATTCAGAGGCAAACAAGGACAATTTCCTGAATAGAGGTAGAATCTCACAGTGTAACTGCCACCGAAGAGGACATAAGTGCCTTCAATAAGAGGAGGCGGCTCCGGAGCCGACTTAGGGTTTTGAATGTAATGCTTGTACAACCTGTAGTATGGTGGTGGAGGTGGATATGTAGCTGTTGCCGCCATTTACAGCCTTTTTGCCAACAATAACACCAGCCTAACCTAAAAACAATCATGTAAATCAAAACAAAACATATCATCCATCCACTCTCTACTTTTCATTAGCCAAAGTACGAAAAAAGTACACTCTTTATTTTACCTAATTACTTTAGCTATTGTATTCTCCAACCACACTCTATTTTAGCTAATCATTCAAACTAACTTAATTAATTTTCAAAACAAAAAATACTAATTGTTGATATTTTACCAATATAAATTTGCAATAATAATAAATTTGCCCATACAAACATACAAAACCTGTAGAATGAGGAGAAAAAAAAAATAAAAAATACAAAATACAAAATAAGTTATTCCGTAATTCATCAAACAGAATTGAAAGAATATATAAAATTGCTACATAAACATATACATATATAACATATATAAAATCCCAAATCCAAGACATAAATATACAAAAATCCAAGATATATGCATACATATTTGTTTGGAGAACCTCTGGGGCTCTTCAACTGTAGCCACCAAAAAAATAGGATGGTAAAGTAGCCAGCCCATTGAAACTCAAAATTAGAGTTACATTGACTAAAATGCCTAACAAGCCTTTTTAAACTATCCCCTTGGAGATGCTCTTAGGGCTCCCAATTTTGGTTTAAAATAGAGGGGTGCCAAATTGCTTAAGGTCATTTTGAAATGAATTAATGAAAGTTAGTTTATTAATTTATTAACTTATTTAAATTATATTATTTATTTAATTTTTTGTACATTTTTTCATAATAAGTAAAAAAATCAGTTTATAAGTTACAATCAAAATAATGCCTAGGATCCGTTTGGCAAGGTAATTAAGGTTAATTTAGTCCATTAAAAGACAAAATATATTAAAAAATTAATAAGATAAAATGTCATATCTAAACCATAATTATTTTACTTTTTTCTCATAAAACTATAGAAAAAATTAAAAATTTATTCTAAACAAAACTTTTTTAAACTAAATTAAAATAACCAAAAAATCAGCCTAAAAACATTCATTCCATATGAAATTTAGAGATATAGGTATAAAATAAAAGGCCTATTCTAATAATGAGGCCCAATTTTTTGTCCTTCCTATATATATGTTGGGCCAAACTGAAAAAACACAAAATCAATTGAATTCATTAGCCCTAGAGAGAAGGACTCGTCACTCTTAGTTTGGTTTTGTCTCGGAGATAGGAGTTGTCTCTCCAATCTATAATCTTGAACAAACTCTTGGACAGTTGAACTCTCCGCTGAAGCTTGGTGGTGATCTCTCTAACTGTGATTCGAAAACCAAAATTTCAATTTATTCAAGTAATTGGATACATACACATTTGACATTTGACATTTGCATATATATGTATTCATAGATGGATGATATGCTTTGTTTTGATTTATATGATTGTTTTTAGGTTAGGCCAGTGCTATTGTTGGCAAAAGGGTTGTCAATGGCAGCAACAGCTACGTATCCACCTCCACCACCATACTACAGGCTGTACAAGGATTACATTCAAAACCCTAAGTCGGCTCCAGAGCCTCCTCCTATTGAAGGCACTTATGTCCTCTTCGGTGGCAGTTACACTGTGAGATTCTACCTCTATTCAGGAAATTGTCCTTGTTTGTCTCTGAGTGTTATGAAAAGTTTCATATTGAAGCAAAATTTTACTATATGTTTTATTTATTTATTTATTTGAAATGTAAAAGGTTGTGAAACTTTTATTGGAGCTGAATTAGTTGTCGAGCTATACTAAGTTCTAAAATGGCTTTCACACCAGTCAATTTGAAATTTTTGATTAATATACTTTTGTATTTGAGCACCTACAGTTGACTAAAATATATTTGCTTTATGAATGTGGATAGATGATGTGCTTCCGAGCTTGGAAGAACAGGGAGTCCGTCAGTTGTATCCTAAAAGACCTAATATTGGTACATTTACCATCTCTTCACCTGTTATAAATGCTACCTCATGAAAATATTTGTTCACCTTGCCTGCATTGTCATGTCTCATGTTATCAAAAGTTATTTTTAAACATTTTGTTTAACTTCTTTCTAGTTGGTTTCTTTGTTTTTGTTTATGTTTCTTAATTCTATAGTAGATTTGTACTTTTATACACGGGTATCATGCGAGCATTGGTAATTCTATGTTTAATTATAATCTTCTTTAAATACATTTAAATATATATATATATATAAATATATTTTGCAACATTATGTTCTTCTAGATCATTGATCTTAGGGAAAAGCTAATCCTTACGGCATTTTGGAGGCTTAAAAGTACTAACTCCATGTAGGGGTTGCTTGTTGCTTGATGCAATACTGAGTGCTTGGACTGGCAAGCGTGAAAAAGCAAGTTCAAGGTAGAGGGTTACCATTTTGTGCAAATAATGTGAGAGGTTAGGTCTATACTAGGGCCATTACTGCTAGCACCCTCTATTATTGTGGACCGGCACTAGTGAATGCGTTTTTTAAACTAATTACTTTCTTTGATTTTGTCAAAATAATTTTAAGTTTTAACAGGTCTCTTTTTGGAGATCATGAAAGTATAATTTTCCATTAAGAAAAACATAGGTTGCATTTGGTAGAGATTTATAATTATGATTTGAGAATAGAGTTGGATTTTGAGTTTGTGAGTTTTGGAATTATGATTTGAGTGTAAAAAATTTGTTTGGTTAGGAGTTTAAAAAAGAGTTTGAATTGAGTGATGTGACATATAATATTGAAAAGTTGGTGTTTTGAAAAGTGAGTGTGGAATTAATTTTCCAAAGCTGTAATCAAACAACACACTCAAACCAAGGGACAAAATTAAACTTTAAAAGCTCTACCAAACAGAGCCATAGTATTTGAAACTACATTTGGGTCTGTAGTTAAAAAATAGTTAACATTTGGATGCTACTAGTTTTGATTAAAAAAACAGTGAATAATTGTTCAAGAGGCTTCCAAGTGTGTTGTTCAACGATTCAATGCATCTTTGTGGGAATTTCCCTAGAGAAAGTGGCTTAATTCTACAGAGCCATAGTATTTGAAACTACATTTGGGTCTGTAGTTAAAAAATAGTTAACATTTGGATGCTACTAGTTTTGATTAAAAAAACAGTGAATAATTGTTCAAGAGGCTTCCAAGTGTGTTGTTCAACGATTCAATGCATCTTTGTGGGAATTAGGGTTCCCTAGAGAAAGTGGCTTAATTCTGCCACTAAGGCACTATAAAATGTTCTAGGATGGGGTGATGACTATGATATTATGAATCTGCCTGAATTTTGAAGTTTATGTAAGTCAAGATGAAAAGCATTGAGGGAAAAAAAGAAGTTAATTGGGATTTTATTTGTTTAATGTATGATGATATCTGGCAGACACTTCACTCTAAATCTTTTGAAGTGTGTGAGGTTGTCGTCTCGTTGTTCTTAAAATACCATTAACCCACCAATTTGCAAACCTTGCCTACAGAGTTTAATATTACAGTCTTAGTATAACCTCAAGTCCTTCCCATTCCCCTTGCTCAAGTTTAAGGCAGATTCCTCAGTTGTGATGTGGATCATTAGATATTCAATGGCATGAAGTGCTCATAGAATAACCTATCTATAATATCTTTTAATCTGATGTCTAATAATGTTCTAATCTTTCACAGATTTCAAGAACGAACTGAGAACGCTTAACAGAGAACTCCAGCTACATATTTTGGAGCTTGCTGATGTTCTTATAGAGCGGCCATCACAATATGCAAGGAGGGTAGAAGACATATCTCTTATATTCAAGAACTTACACCACCTTCTCAATTCATTGCGTCCCCACCAACTAGAATTTTCCTAATTACTATCTCTAGTTCTTGGTCTTTTTTAGAGAATTCAGCTAAATATGTAGTTTTAATTCATTTTCTGTCCCTCGCATTTAACTCCTTTTCTCACCTGTTCTTCTCAGGCCAGAGCAACTCTAATTCACATGCTAGAACTTCAGATACAACGCCGTAAAGAAGCTATGGAGGATATTAAGAGGGACCCTTCTGCTAGTCTTGATGATGTTTTTTAGATGATTGGAAATTAAAATTTTTACTTGGTTTTGTAACATTTTAAAACGGTGTTGTCTTGGAAATGCCTATTTGCTTCTGCAGCTAAATTAAGAATTTGTAGGTTTTTGGACAGTGATTTTAATTTCAAGTTTTACAATGATTTATTATAGTTGTGGTGTTGACTTGGTTACAAGTTGCAGCATGTCAGTTGATTTTGCTTAACTGAAAATTGAATCATTCTGTACATACATTGATATCTTCATAAGATCATGTGCCCCAAACCCTCTCTCATGCAGCCACACAAAAACAGACACATTTATGTACATGTTTATGCATATTGGTTGTTGCCTGCCTCATTCACTGGAGACGGCGGTAGTCAATATTTGAATGGACAGACTACGAAATATATTTTTTCTAGAAGGCTATTATTACGATGCATCTTTCTTCATTTGGAAGGAAACTGTCAAACCGAATTTTTGTGGTTTGAGAAGTTGGCTTATGTGGTTCTTAAACACCCAAAATATGTGGGATGCTAATGATTTTGATATTTTTTTTAGCCTCAAGCCATTTCTGTTTGGAAAGGGTAATGCATTCCGTTCTGGCCTTCTGGCTTTCATTGGAGTTTTATTCATTACATAGAAGAGGATATTTACTTTCAAGTTTATTTACTCTATTTGTTGTTTCCTTGCTTTGGGCCGAAGAAAGCTATACTGCTTTGACACATGGTGGCTGGTTTGCAAAGAGTGATGAATGAGTGAACAAAGTTGGTTTTCTTTCCCCTTTCCTTTTGTCTAGCACTTGTATCAAGTTAGTTTGGGTGGGGTCAAACTAACACAAAGAGTGTGGTTGGAGCTTAGTGGTGATCTCTTTAACCGTGATTCGAAAACCAAAATTTCAAATTATTCAAGTAATTGGATACATACACATTCGGCATTTGTATTATATATATATATATATATATATATGTATTCATAGATGGATGACATTTGAATAAATTGCTTTGTTTTGATTTATATGATTGTTTTTAGGTTAGGTTGGTATTGCTAGCAAGAAGGCTGTAAATGGCGGCAACAACTACGTATCCACCTCCACCACCATATTACAGGCTGTACAAGGATTACATTCAAAACCCTAAGTCGGCTCCGGACCCTCCTCCTATTGAAGGCACTTATGTCCTCTTTGGTGGTAGTTACATTGTGAGATTCTACCTCTATTCAAGAAATTGTCCTTATTTGTCTTTAGTGTTATGAAAAGTTTCATATTGAAGCAAAATTTTACTATATGTTTTATTTATTTATTTATTTGAAATGTAAAATGTTGTGAAACTTCGCAAAATTTTACTATATTTTTATTTATTTATTTATTTGAAATGTAAAATGTTGTGAAACTTTTATTGGAGCTGAATTGGTTGTCAAACTATACTTAGTTCTAAAATGGCCTCCACACCAATCAATTTGGAATTTTTGATTAACATACTTTTGTATTTGAGCACCTACAGTTGACTAAAATATATTTGCTTTATGGATGTAGACAGATGATGTGCTTCCGAGGTTGGAAGAACGGGGAGTCCGTTAGTTGTATCCTAAAAGACCTAATATTGGTACATTAACCATCTCTTCACCTCTGATAAATGCTACCTCATGAAAATATTTGTTCACCTTGCCTGCATTGTCATGTCTCATGCTGTCAAAAGTTAATTTTTAACATTTTGCTTAACTTCTTTCTAGTTGGTTTCTTTGTTTTTGCTTATGTTTCTTAATTCTGTAGTAGATTTGTACTTTTATACATGGTACCATGCAAGCATTGGTAATTCTATGTTTAATTATAATCTTCTTTAAATACATTTAAATTTTCTTTTCTTTTCTTTTTTTGGAAACATTACGTTCTTCTAGATCATTAATCTTAGAGAAAAGCTGATCCTTACGGCATTTTGGAGGCTTAAAAGTACTGACTCCATCTAGGGGTTGCTTTTTGCTTGTTGCTTGATGCAATACTGAGTGCTTGGACTGGCAAGCGTGAGAAAGCAAGTTCAAGGTAGAGGGTTACCATTTTGTGCAAATAATGTGAGAGGTTAGGTCAATACTAGGGCCATTACTCCTAGCACCCTCTATTATTGTGAACTGGCACTAGTGAATGCATTTTTTAAACTAATTACTTTATTTGATTTTGTCAAAACGATTTTAAGTTTTAACTGGTCTCTTTTTGGAGATCATGAAAGTATAATTTTCCATTAAGAAAAACATAGTATTTGAAACTACATTGGGGTCTGTAGTTAAAAAATAGTTAACATTTGGATGCTACTAGTTTTGATTAAAAAAAACAGTGAATAATTGTTCAAGAGGCTTCCAAGTGTGTTGTTCAGCGATTCATGTCAAGAAGCAAAATCCAATCAAAGAGCATGGGATTCTCCATTGCCAAATTCCTTTGTCACATTGTCCCAAAACACTCACAACCGTTATGCCTCAAGATTACTATGTCTGGAGATTCTCACATGATCCAATAATTGTGAATGTTTTAGGATGGATGGGCCCACTCAAAGAGCAGGAAATAATAACTTCAGTATCATACATGGCAAAAGATAGCATACTACACAGAAAAATGTGAACGTTTGAAAGTTGAAACAACTCCGACCTCAAAAACACAAGTTAAGTAGTTATAGATCTTCAAACAGGACTAACATTCAATCGAAACTACAATATCATTTCCCATATACATTTACATCCCCAAACAACTATACATATATATATATACACTCAAATGATTTTGCACTCCCTTCATTTTCCAAATCTTGTCATTTAGCATGTGTAAAAATTTGTATGTTTCTTACATAAACTTGGTAGAACTAAGCTAATTTAAAAGACAACAAAGAAATGGGTTCAGTTCTACCACCTTCAACTATTTTCTTTAATTTTTTTTCTCCACAGAAACCAAACACAAACAACAGATCTATAGCTGTATCATAAAAACGGATAATGAAATAATCAGATGAACCAAAAAAAAAAATCGAGGGGAAAGAATTGAAGACATGATGGATACCTTAAAAACCGTAAGATGGGTTTTCTAAGAATATAGATGCATCAATCAAGAATGGGGGTGGGAAAATACTTCACAAAATAAAACATTTTCAAGATAAACATACAAGGTGGGATTTGAATTTACATAGACTTAGTAGACCTAGGCTTCTTTAAAAGACAATAAAAACAATCTAAATCCTGAAGATGAATACATGGTCACAAATGTGTTCAGTTCTTCCACCTTCAACTATTTTCTTTCCTTTCTCTCTCAAAAATCCCAGAAACCAAACACAAACAACAGATCTAGAAAGTCGATAACATTATAAAAAAAACAAAAAAAAAAACAGAATTGATCACATAATGGATTACAAAAACCCTAAAATAGCTTCTAACAATCTTCAAATGACATTCATGAATTACAGTTGAGGAGAAACCTGTGCCGGGGGGAGAGAGGTGCGGCTGGAGAGACTGGGCGCAGGCTTGTAGTCTAGTTGGCGCTCGAATAGGGAGGCGAGAAACCCTAATGCGTTTTTAAAGGGCCAAGTTAGTGGTGAAATAACATTTTTGCCCATCTTAACGTCACCACACCATAAAATTCTACTCTTTTTTTTTTTATATTTTTCGTATTGTTTTATTTTTAATAATTTTTTTAAAATTTTAAGTTATTTTAAAAAAAATTTAGACACACCTAACATAAATACACTTAAAAAATAAAAATAAATCTTTAAAAAATTTACTGAATACTAAAAATATGAAAATTCAATATATTTTTTATATTTTTGTGTATTTATTATTTTTTTTTAAATTTCACAAATATTTTACTATTTAGATATATCTAAGTAAGATGTATTTAAAAAAAGTAAAAAAATTACTTTATATTTTAAAAATATTCATTAAAAATAAAACATTACGAAAACAAAAAATTAAATTTTAAAAATTAAAACCGAACACACTGAACACTATTCTCTGTGTGTGTATGAACGACCCATCTAATCTTGATTTCAAGGCACCAAAGTTCAATTTGCACCCCCCTTCTTTATAATTAAATTCTAAATCTTGTCATTTAGCTTGTATAGAAATTTGTATTATGTGCAATTTTTTTTTATTAAAAGACAAATTATAAACGAATAATCCTATACAAACTAACAAATCTTATAATATGTTTCTTACGTAAACTTGGTAGAACTAGGCTACTTTAAAAAAACAAGAAACAAATGAGTTCAGTTCTACCACCTTTCCTCTCAAAATTCCACATAAACCAAACACAACGATAGATCTATAGCTGTATCATAAAAATGCATAATAAAATAATCAGATGAACCAAAAAAAAAAATCAAGGAAAAATAATTGAAGACAAGATGGGTAACTTAAAAAGCGCAAGATAGGTTTTCTAACGATCTTCAAATGATTGAGGTGAGGAGCACAACAGACCTATGTCGGATAGAGAGATCAGAAGAGAGGCAGCTGTAGAGATTTATCGCTAGGCTTGCGTTTCAACTAGGGAAGGACAATAAAACCCTAATGTGTTCTCTTATAAAGCGCAAAGTTGCTCGTGAAATGACGATTTGCCCTAGATTAAAATGTACTGTATCGTACCATAGCAAAATCACATTTGTGCTATCTGTTTTACCCTCCTTTGTCAACCAAATTTTTTTTATATGCTAATGGGTACCACTAATCACAATTGTATATATTCTTTATTTTATTTTTTTTCAAATATATATAGATTAAAAAGTCTCAAATTTAATCATAATAGTAAAAAGTCTCACATGACATTTAGCACCTAATTTTTTTTTCTCATCAATAGTGTAACAACTCGAAAATTTAAGTTGTCCTTTAAATTTTATATTAATATTATTTAATTATAAATGAGAAAAATTCCGAATTTTTAATTAAATACCACATAAATATTTATAGTTATGTATAATTATGGTGATATGTGATAATATATTATTAAAATAAATAAATAAATAATAACAAGAATAATAAAATAAATATATGGAATAATAATAATAATAGGAAATAGCAATACTAAGAATAAGCATACTAAATAGGATAAGGCCAACAACAATTAAGTAACAATTAATTAAGTAGATTGTATATCTCTCCAAAAGGGAAGGATGTCATGCCACCTGTGTCATCTAGCGCTTAGGGGAGTGAGTCACCACTTTGAGGCATCATTCATCACCTAGGGGCTTATATATATATACCAAAAATGCTTCCGACCACTAAAACTTGATCACTAAATCACCACTAATGACGTGGCCGCCAACGTCAATAAAAGGAACGAGGGGAAAAGAAAAGAAAAAAAAAAATAGAGACATGAAGGAGGAAGAAAATAGTCTTGAGAACCCAGCGTGAAAAGGAGGGAAATAGTAGGAATTAATATGCAGGTGGGTTATATTATATCTTGAGTTACCATAATATATTTTACGTATGTTTTGAGTTATCATAATTTATTTTATATAAGTTATGTTTTATAATTTATATTTATATTTTAATTACGTTAATTATTTTCTGAACTCTATTTGCTTAAACTGAGACCCATGAATATGTTTGTTTAATTTTTAATGATTATTTGACAATGATTTTGTAAATAATTATATTTTGTAAGTACCAAAACGGGAGTCTTATGTCTTGGAAGACTTTAATAACCATTGGCCTCTGTTTGGTCACTTTGTGGCCCTCTGTTGTCATGGATCTATTGACCTCTATTCTGTGCGAAGATAAGTGTTATGCGAAGATAAGTCCTACACTATTGTGGGGGCCATCTCTATAATCCCTACGAGCCACCTCTTGAATCCGTTCCTTTGTATTGTCATGAATCCATTGAACTCTGTTATGATTGTCACTCCTGTGACCTCTGTTCGGTACCATGGTTATGGTTATTTATTTACATAATCTCAGTTTTGCTACTTAAATGATTATTTGTTCAGACTAAGTTATCTTAAATATAACTATCCATGGTTATTTTGTGTCCCTTATACTCTTGGCATAATATTTTTCACTCTACCATGTGATTATAATTGTTTACCAATTTTCAGGAAACAATGCAATTCAAAAATAGCTTTTAGAATCTTAAACGCGAGGCTGTGGAATAGACACACAACACTTTTATGATATTTTTATATGTAAATATCGGCCTTTTTGGTCAATATATTTTGTAATAAAAATAAAAGCTTTGATGATTATTTTGGTACCCTCACTTAAATATTATTTCCACTCACGTTTATTAATTTGTTCAAGAATTGACCGGAAGTAACTTCAGTTATTGGCCATCACGATGCTTAACCCTTGGATATGGAGAGCAGGTCGTGACAAATAGGGGTGTAAAATTGGCCCACCGTCTCCCGGCCCTAATCCATCCCAAGACCCTATGCCTGGGCCTAGGCTATCTATTTTGTGACCCAATCCATGAACCTAGCCCACTGGCCTACTCCAAGGTTCCTTTGGGCCCACTTGAGGCCCACTCTCATTTCCAAGTTTTTTTTTTTTTTGTGGGGAAAAAATAAAATAAAATAAAATTTTAGTAGAAAAAAATTAAAAAATGGTCAAGCTCGTCCTAAGCTCGAGCCCACATCCAAGCCTTGTAGCCACGGCCCGATGCCTGACCCAAGGCCCAAGTACTCCTAGGCCTAAGCCACGATTTTGCGTGAGTGGATCGACCCAACATGGCCCTATTTTTTGCGGGAGTCTGCTAAGCTCAATGGCAGGCCGGCTCGAGCCCGGGCCAAGCCATTTTTACACCCCTACTTGTCAATACCACCCCATGTTGTTGTTTTTATTGAGAGAAATTATGTTTATATTTGGAATTTTACACATTGTGAATAAAATATAAATTGTAATTAATTTAAAATAATAAAAATTATAATGCTAAGTTTTTTTGATAAATTTTTAATGAGAGCTTTTTTGACATCTAGCCCAACGCTCGAGTGGAGTAACATAATTTTTAATGAGAGCTTTTTTGATAAATCCCCTTTCTAAGTATTTGTCCATCTAGCCCAAAACTTTTTTGACTATTCCAATAAGTCTCATACCTAGCAATTTGTCCAAAACACCCCTAGACATTTTTGAGCACTTATTTCCATTCAAAACGTCACAGCACAAAAACATAGGAGCAAATCGCAAAATATACGACAAGGTTTTCGAAAAACCCTCATTTCCATATCAGTTCTCATTGTCTCATCATTTGAAGATTCTCATCATCTCTGCATCTGTAACGATCTAGAATTTCTCTCTCCGCTCAAGCGGGGAAGTTGACACTCGAGCGGACTTGAGAGGCTCTCAACAATTTTGCAGTCTGTCTGAAATTCTGAGAGTCGTGAATTCCCGCTCGAGCGTAGGAGTGGTCGCTTGAGCGAACCACTTTGTTAGTCTGCGCGCTCGAGCGTGGAAAGCGACGCTCGAGGATGGAAAGTGAGATTGCCCTTGACTTTTTTTTAGTGTATTTGGAACCTCCTTGTTTTATTTTGGGGCATTGATCGAAGTAGTAACATGATTGTAAAGTAAGAGTGAACCAAGAATTTAATTCGGATAATTTTTCTTATGAACAGCCGTCACTCTTTTTCCCTTTTCTCTTTCCACACTTTGAATTTGGACGTGAGGCTAGAATCATTTGAAAGCTTATTTCCGGGGCTTCGATTTAGACACAAGAACGACCTAGAATGCAGTCCGGATGAGAGAGTTATGCCCGTTTCAAGTTTTGAAATTTATGCTGGAAGCAAGTACGCTCGAGGGGGAAAAGCAACGCTCGAGCGGACTGCGCGAATTCAGCAAGTTTAAAGGCACTTTTTGTCACACCCCGAAAATAATCCCACATAACTATTACATCTACCCACTTCTAAAAGGAGATATTAACCAAAATCATTTACATGGTTCCAAATGCTTACTAGAGTATTCACGCATGCCATTATACATTTATTTACTAACTAGTACATGAATCGATAGCATGTAAAAGAAATCATTAAATCACAACAAATAAGGCCTCAAGGGCTTACAAGTTCCAAGGCAATAGCCCGGTTACACATAATGGTCTCTCGGACCCAAACACATTAGCCCTTGGCTTACAACAAGTATCATAACAAAATAAGAGTCAAACTTCTCTTCTTCAAACATCTCCATGCCCTTAGCTTGGCGGAGTCACCACATCTTTACCTGCACCAATTCCCATAGGGGTGAGCATAAAGCCCAGTAGAGATTCCTTACAAAGTATATAAAGTTATGCCAATACCATCAACGTTAAAAAAAAATGCATATATAATGCCATGCAAGTGCCCATATTGAAGGAAACTTTTATTTCAATGCACTATTTCAAAATCCCCAAGTGCTCAATAATGTTCAATACACCATTTTGAAATCATCATGTTCTCAATAATATTATGCAATCCCATCAATTTTAAACTTTCAATATTTAAATCAACAGGGGCGGTAAATACGACACTGTTAATTCCTAGGCTGGTGTCTGCAAGTAGACTCTACGAGTACTACCAAACTGTCAGTTTTACTGGTATTAACCGGAAGGC